AAGTCAGGACATGTACACATTACTGTCAATTAACATACTTTAACTCGCTTTGAATGCAGGAACCTGTCGAGATGAAATGCAGATGGATGTTAGAACAGAACCATACACCAGATGACACTTATAATGAACACCAACAGAACCAGTACAGAACGGCCGCCAGCTAAGATGACACTGTTTGAACACCAAGAAGACTTCATGTTTGAAGGTTCATTAGTTGTTATTTATTTTCCTTGTCCCACAATAGTTTCATTCTGATTGGCAAACGAAAAATGTTTTTTCAAGAATGTTTTCATTCTAATTTTTATTTTGAATGTTTTTCTGGATTAAAAACTTAGCAATAGAGCTTTTGTCTTGACATTACATTGGTTGTAATAAGGGTTCTTCTTAACTTTTTCATTCGTTATATTACATTCGGCTAAGGCATTCCGGCACACCTGGTCATTGTGGCTTTTCGACACTTCGGCTATTAAGATGAACCCTTATTTACACACCAAAGTGATAACTAATCAAATTGTTTCTGCTTTTTTTATAAAACATGTCTTTGATTTTTTTCCTTTGAATCTTGTATGCTGTGTGTGTGTGGATTCAAAGTCCATGTTTTATAAAGACAAGCAAGAATAAATCCAAAATATTCTAGTCTATAAGATGATTTGAGATCAATGACTCTTGACATGGGAGGACTTGAGTTAGATGGCGTGCATAATCCGGCTAGCTTAAAATCACTTAATAGTAGATAGGTTAGGTTAGGGTCAAGCTGTCATTTCATCTCTCTATCGTCTCTTAGTCAAGAAGCCTTTGATAGGTTGTATACATTTCTCATGATTTTGGTCTGTTTGGCATTTATTTGGCTTCAAGATGGGATATGGATCTCATTTGTGCTCGGCAAGAATCTTGTATTCTTGTCAGTTTTAGGCAAAAGCTGTTAGTGTGGGGTGTATTCGTTCTACCCATCCTTAGGTCGGTTTGTACTAACACTCATCTATCAGTCATTTAGTTCTTCTAAATTTCATGATAATGAGTAAACATCGAAGGACTTCGCATTGGTTCGTTTTAGCAACGGTAGGTCTCATTAAGTAAGGAAGGATTAACCAGCATTGGAAAAGGGTGCAAACTGTCAGTGCTATCTATCACATTGTGCGCTGTTATAGATAGCACATACCTCTGGATGGGTAGAAGGTCTCGCATTTCCACGTTTTTTTAAATAGTTATAACATTAGGAAAAAAGTCTAGGCTCCCTCCCTATAGCTTCTCTTGGTAAAAGAAAGCTATATCCTCTAGTATGAATTAGAGGAAATGATTTGGAAAAACTGTGCTCAAGGGAACACATTTTTTCTAGATTATAAGTAAGAGAGGAAATCCTAATAGATTCCTTCTCTAATATGACTGCAAGGTATATGTGCACTATGTTTGTCATACTTCATGCACGCCAATAATATTTATATTATAGCTTCTAATCCGACCATCCATATAAGTTTTAACTTTATTATTTATAAAAGAAATAGGAAGTATGACAAAATGATCTCATTATTGTCAAGATGATGCAATCGCATCATTTTGACAGCTAATGAGAAGTGCATAACTGTAAAAATGTCAACTTTGGAATGYAAAGCAAAGATGTCCTATTACATTTATTATTATTATTATTTTATTATTATGTGTATGAATGTGTGTTGTCTTGTGAACTTCAGCTTTGTGATTTGTCCTCTGACAAGATATCTTTGCATTTTCCAGCTTGACATTTCTGTTCGGCTTTCGTCAAAGAAAAATTAATTTCTGTTTTGGTTTAAATTCTATATCAGAGTATGTGGGTTTTTATATTGGATAAAAACACTTTTATACAATACACTAACCCACAACTCTGATGTTCAGTCCTGTGGTCATCAGGTTTGGAACACAAATTCCTTTTTTTTAATTTCTTGTGAAATTTCGGCTTAGGTTTCTAGGTTTCTCTTCGGCATAGGCTGATAAGTTAATATTAATAGTTTTGGTAAGGGTTGGGTCTCCATCACCTTTTTCAAGGGAATTTGTATCATTTCTATTTTCGGCTTTAGGTTTCTTTTGTCTTAGGAGTATCTTCGGCTTAGGCTAATAACTTATATAACTAACTAAATAGCATATTCATATTTTTCACAGTAAACTTGACATGACTTTATATTTATAAATAAAAATAAACAACATACATAAACTTTAACTGTAACTATGTGGGTCTCTAGCTACCAATCAAATTTTCGTTTCCGGCATTTTTTTTCTTAAAGCTGAATCTTTCTCTAACAATCTTTTTTCTCAGCTTTTCTTACTCTCATTTTAGTTCAGTATAAAATAGGAAAGAATTGTAAAATTAGATTAGTTAGGCTTTATTATTGTAAATACCTTRWCCCTGACTTGGTATGTTCTGAGCAATGATTGTAAAAGATTTACATTTGAATAAAAAGAATGTTTGTTCTGGTGTGTCACTAATACTTCCATTTCAGCTTTTGAGTTACCTGGAATCTAGATGGTTCTACTACTATTGGTGTTACTTTAATTTTTATTCCACAGTGTTTCTAAGTATCCTTTTCAAGTTTGTACACATAGACTTTGACTTAAATTTACTAAACCACTATTTAAAAAGTGCAGCAAAGGTAAGTAGCCAAAAGGTTTTTATTCTTGATACTAACTACAAAATGTTTTCCTTTTTCTTTCTGTTTCTCAACAGGTATTAAAACAAAGAAGAAGCAAAATGAGTCTCGGCAAACATTCATCACCAAAATATCAAAACGAATCRTAACAAATAAATAAATTACTACAATTGTTTAAAGATGGTACTAATTTAGAAAAATGTAAACATCGTTCCTAACTAGATTTTTTCTTCCATTTTCTTTTTTCACAGACTGGAACAAAAATGTCAACTATTAATACCACAATCTGAACACTGAGTCCAGTGACCAAAACCCTACTATAATGATGAAGTATTTTAACAAGGAAATGGAAACTGGAAGTTGAAATAATGAACAAAATATTTAAATGGTAAGTTATAAGTAGAACAAGGAAATAGAAATGGATTGAATGACCAACATCCTAGTCGAATGGTACTGAAAGATATACTAGATAAAGGAAATAGAAATAGAATAAATGAACGGAATCCAAGTCTAATGGTAAAGTACTGACAACAGAAATGGGAAGAAATGAATGACCAACATCCTAGTCGAATGGTAATGTACTGGAAAAAAACAATTTTATGAATCATTTACATCCTAATCAAATGGCAATGACTTGGAACAAAGAAAAGGGAATGGAATGAATGACCAACATCCTAGT